TACACTCCACGTCTCTTTGGAATGGCATCCTCTCCAAAAAATCAATAACGAAAAATATCTACTTGGCTGTCTAGGAGACGCCGCGTCGTAGGCACAGATGATAACGTTTAGGTTGCCATAATATGCAACAAGAAATGTATTTCGCCCTGAGGAAGGTTGCAACATGATGGATAAAACGTTGGCATCGGTGCTTAATGCGCGACGTTTCCCGAGCATCCAAGTAGATACTGATTCTGGCCGCAGAAACCTACCTTTTCAATCATGGAAAAGTCGCAGAACGTACAGAGCTTAGGGCCATTCCACAGTTACAGTTACACAGTTACGTGTGGGACATCCACACAAATTTTTTTTAAAGTCAATTATCTCATCTTTATCTCACGGTAGAGCACCAAGAAAATAATTTCGAACCTACACTTAGTTATTCGAATATTTCACAAAATAAGGCAATTTAAGTCGACGAATAGAAATAAAACATTTATATTTGAAGTTATTTCTTAAATGTGTTTTTATTTTTCGAGTTTTACATTTTTTACTAACTCCGCATAGAGAATGTATTGTTAGGCTGTAATTTCTTTTACAAAAATATGTTTGAGAGCCATTGCTAACAAACCAGTGTTTTTTTTTGTGGTTCATATACGTAGTACAGTAGTTTTTCACCTACGTACTATAGTTAGAATCCTTGATTAATGGTGGTTGTCTGTTTGCTTGTCTTCGTCTGGGAACAACACTAGCGCCTAAACCGTACAGAGGATTTTCATCAAAATGGATATTCCCGATCCACGTAGATGAAACGCTTTTTTTTAATATTTTTTGGAAATTTTTCATAAAGCCCTTAGGATGTTTTAGAAATTGCTTCAAAAAAGACAAACATTTATATATAACTTCACAAAACAAATTATATAACAAATTATCAACTTCACCCATTTTTCAACACTTTACATTAGGTCAAAACTATTTTTCTGATCCTCGAATCAGAACGTTTTCTAAAGATATTTTTCGTCCTCCGTAAATTAAAACTCGTTTCATTTCTATTTACGCCTTTCATAATTATTTTTCAATTACACAATTAAAGTTAGTGATAGCACTTATATTAAGTTGTAGGTAACTATTTATCTGTTAATTAAATGCTGGCTTTTTGCCTTTACGTTATGTATTATATTCAACTTCCTGAAAACTAATGCAATTAAACAGGTACCAAACAAATATTAAAAATATTTGTTAGGCTCGAATAAAGAAAAGTTTGCTTTTATTTATTTTTTGGGTTCGAATAGAGAAAGGTTTGATTAATAATGTGGTATATTCCCGATTTTAACTATTATAACACCTGAAATTTGCAAACGTTCAACTTTTTATACCTCAAAAACGTTAGTGTACTTAACCAATATTGGTGATAAGACAATACACCGCGGGGTCTACACGTTTAAGTTCGAATTCAATGTCCCAACTGTACTAGGATTTTCGACACTGGCATAGCTAGGTTCGAATTCAGTCGCTGTCTGAATGTGAATTCTTGCGACTAGCTGTTCTGATCGGTAGTTTTCCAAAGTTTCTCCGATCAACACCATGCGAATGCCGAACATATCGGGCAAAGGTCCGCACGCGACCTTTCCTTCCTCTTCTTTGTCCTATCATCACCCCTTACACACACATCCAGTGTCGGCTCGTGGGTATTCACACGTTCGCAAGTGCACACCTAAATTAACTCGGTACTATTCCTCTTAAACATCTGTTAAAAAGAGGACACAAGTCCTCTGAGAGCATTCTTGAAACTTCGTTTTTCAAAATACGCGCCGTTCGGAAGCTGCGAATGACAGTCCGCCCTTTGTGAAAGCCAGTCGTGCTGCCGCTGGGCTGAAGGGGAAAGAGTTCTCCCATTAGTTTCCCTTCAGCCCCGCGACAGCCTTTGACTCTCTTCATGGTGGCATATGGGCAGATGGAGCACTCGGACGAGGGTGCGACTGTTACTGCCCAGTTGCAGAGGCGATCTCAGCGAATTCCTTGATATGTCTCGAAAATATACCACTCCGCTAGCACAAGTTTTAAATAGAAGTAAGTGTGACATTGAATGAAAGAAGTGTGAGATCTCTCTCCCCGTAAATGAGCTCTCATCCCTTCCAAACTAGCAGTTGCCCGCTGGCGCGCGTGATGTGCTGTCTTGCATTCGTAAGAAAGCAATCATCAAGAATTCAAGAGCTATTTGTAAAATGTTAATTTAATAATGTACGCACACTCTCGTGTGTTTCAAACTGAGTTCCAATTACATATTATACACACACAGATATATGTAATTGTTGCACACCCTAATAGAATGACCGAGCTGCCATTGCTTTCATCACTACACTACCACCCATGCCGGGAGACAAGTCGGAGACTTCGCGCTTGTCCCGACTGGGGGCGGCGTCGCGCTGCTGTAAGATACCTTGTGCTGGAAAACCCCGCAATCCGACGTGTAGGCCGTCGCCAGATCCCATCATCGATCGGGGGAATATCATCGCCACCTCCCGCGAGAAAAGCATGCACTACACCTACAGGAATAATTATCTTAGCCAGAAATCACTAATTAAAAAACGAAAGCGATGCTTGGAAGAACTTGGCGATAGCATGTACAGCACGCTGATCGTCCAGTTGGTCCGATGTGCATAATCAACATTAAATTCTTAGCATGTGGCATTTTACATAAAATTCATCGGTTTTGGTAAGTGTTCGGAAATAAAAGCTCTGTGTTAAATGCGTCATTATTAATATGTTTAAACAAGAGTATTTAAAAATAAGAAGATTAAATAAATAATGAGAAAAGGTAATTAACCCGTATGCACACAATCTTCTCACTTTTCACTCGCCCCGGAGACGGCAGTCAGAATCGCAACTACTACATGAACTGTGCTGTGTGTGTGACGGGTATGCCAATTGGTTCAATAGATTCATCACGGACCCGATGCTTGCAACTGTCTTCCTCCTGAAATGCTTCCGTGTTTCGAACGCCTCCTTCTGTGTTACTTGTTTACTTGCACGTATCCATTGGCGCCATTTCTGACAATCTCTTACGACAACTCCCCCAACTCCGCCAGCGGAAAGCGTAATGACCTCTTACTTTCTCGTATACGTACGTACGGAGAGTCACACATAGTATAAGAAAAATATATGTAATAACGCGGAAAATTGTTTTCAAGATTTTTACGGAAATATGCGTTTTGGGAACATCTGGTACCGAAAAATTGGTCTATTTCAAAACGTCCGTACGTTCTTTCGTCCGTCTTTCAAAAGTTCGTCACTGTTGACTAGAATATTCGTAGCTTTTTTGAAATGAATATTTCTCGATTGACCTGAACCAATTCAAGCTTCAACTTTGGGTCTTCTGAGACGTTTTCAAAATTTTCTAAAAAATTACTTCAATTTTGTAATTTAATTTCTTGTAAGAATGTAATGAAAAACACCTACAATGATGGCATATGTTCATTTTTCACTGTTAACTCTGAATTTTCGAAAATTGTAAAAGGTTAAAAAGTTTTGGAGCCTCTCTTACAACTTAATTATTGAAGGTAGAGAATTCTTTTCAAATAAAATTTATTCATTAATGTCTTGTATTGGATTTGAAAATGTTAGTATGTTTTCGCATAATTTTAAAAGAAATACACCCAGAACAATAGTATACGCACTGGGATTACGGAATACTGAGAAATAAATATTTGTTTGTAAAGATACAGGAGCAAGATGCGATGTTAGAGGAGTGCTCTCAGTTGGGAGTGTCCCCAGGGGAATGATAGAAATGAGTGGCACTGGTAGGCGGTTTAGGTGTATTGATTGAATGAATGAATGATTGATTGATTTGTGATTCCGAGCGCGTCAACACCTGTCATTATTCTAGTAAGTGTAGTGCATGTTGTTTCGTTGTGAGATGGCGGTGAGATGGCCTGCTGGATGGCGAGATCCGGCGCCAACCTACCGCTGGCTAAGGAGATTTCACGTTAACTATTCATTCTAAGAAAATGTTCATGAACTTATTTAAATATTTTGTTCTGAAAACAGGATTTGATAATAAAAGACATCTGTCTTCAATTAGTTGTAGAAAACGCCGGAAAAGCTTTTAGAAATTTTACGAAAAAAATCAGAAAATTCCACAAAAAGAGCATCTCCGCCTTTTCATTAGCGTTCTTTGCTCTATTCGACGAAACAAATTAAATAAAAAATTCACGTAAAGAATCCCCGAAAATCAAAATATCCAAATTCAAATTAAAGGTTCTGCAACAAGAACCCCATCAATCGGAGAATATCTATTTCGATGAAAAGCTGATGGTAGCCGCTAGCGTTGTCAACGGACGGACAGACAGAGGGACGTTTACCCATAAACAATTTTTCGGTATCAAGGGCCCGAAAACGGGGATTTTGCGCCTTAAAGGAAGTTATTTACTTCATAAAGAAACAAGAATTATCCATTTATTATAGAGACAAGAACATTTTCAATTTATATTGAAAGTTTCTGCAGAAATTGCCTATTGAAAAATCGCCGTTTTGGCGCAGCATTACATACATTTATTTGTTCTAAGCAAGTAGTATGCGAGAAAGTAAAAACAAATCAATAGCGTTCTTTTTATAATGCTGATTACTACCAAACATAAAGTTTTGATATATTAAGAAGAGAAAATTACATTTCATCTTCCAGAGATTTGAAACAAACATTTATTTATATTATTGAAATACTTAATATTTCATTATCACAAAGAACCATACAAAATCAATTTATGAAGTAAAGATTTAAAAAATTGTGAAAACAAAGGTGTTTACCTTTTACTTATCAATGAATTACTCAGAGAACATCAATTCACAGAGACCACGTCATACATAATGAGAGATGAAAACATTTTCCAGAGATTTTTCAAATTAAACGAAATATTTTATTTATTTGTGCCGTACTGTAATATTCATTTGAAAAACAATTATTTACTTTGATTGTATATGGTTAATACGATAACTAGTTATTCCAAAATTGCTTAGTTACATACCGTAGGGGGTTTCCTTCTTTGTCATTATTGAAGAAAGGTCATTACTGGCGCTCTCTTGCTGTGTTGCAGAAGTAGCTGTGGTATGAAGGGGTGAAACAGTGACTTCCATTTGAATGGAGCAGTCAGCGCCACTCCATCCAGGTTCACAATAACATTTGTTGATATTTGAACACACCTGTTTAAGGCAGTCGTCACATAAGAAATGGTAAAATCAAACATCGGTTTTAAGGTATAATTTAAGAAAAAATGTATTGGTCCTTCACAACCAAGTTTAAAAGACATTAAATTACAATATGGTCTACGCTTATAATATGCATACAGAAAATTAACATAAACATTGAAAAAACTTTTATTGTTGTAAAGTCAAGAAGCAAATTTTATAACTTACCCCATGGCCAGAACATTCCAAATTATTGTGATTACTGGGACATTTGCCTTGATCGATGTGTGGAAATATACTTGTGCATGTTTGATTCACACATATCTGTAGAGGAAAGTAAACAAATTTTATTAACAAATACTAACTTCAAAATATTACTGAAAATTGTGTATAGAGGTTGGTAAACAATTGGATTATTGAGTTTGTGATAGAAACTCGCCTATGATAAGAAATGTGCATTGAGGAAAGAGAATGGAATTATTAATAACCTAAACATACACACAGGATGTACTTTTCTTATTTTTCTAGTTATTTAATCCCACGAAAAACCTCAATCAGAACAGCTTGTTTATTAGATCACATACTAAGTACTATGAAGGAAATTCAAGGATGGCTACAAACAACTGTACAAAAACAATACAGTAGGTAACTGAAGTAAGGAAAAAACTGAATGGTTATACAAGCCTACAATTTTGCTTACCATCACAGCAGAACCCACTGTGTTCATTATTAATTGCTACATTACAGAAAAGAAGACACAAAAAAGAAAACATGGAGAAATTTTAGAAAATTAGTAAGTATCAGTTAGAAAGCAAATAAGGTATTTTGTCAAATATATATGAAATATATAAATATTTCAAGTGTTTAAGTCGTTATTCAAAATTCACTATTCAGTATTCATGTTTACTTTCACTAGGGTTACAGACAAAAAATTGAAATAAAGGACAAACTAAGTTCTTTACGTACATGAGGACCGCTTGACAATTCAAGTGACTTCTTACATACCAGGTTTTCTCCACATGGTGTCCCATCTCGTACAAGACCCATGTCAGATGTATCACGAATACCATTGGTAGCCCTAAACATCATAAAAATGAACTTAACATCTGATATTAGATAAATAAAAACTACCTAATGATAAAAGGAATCTGAAATGAATTATATTTGCAAAATATATTGCAGATAACTCACTTGCATTCATACTCGACGCCCTTGATTGAAATGATTGTCCTTGAATATAATTGGTCATTGCCAGCAACAACGGGATACCGATTGCCTAACTGGCATTGTAACGAGCCGCAGTGTACATTTCTACAAAACAAAAGACAATGGTTATATTTATAGCACGGAAACAATTTCATTCTCATAAAATCAGAATATATTAAGTATGATAGCAACACAACTTACTCAGGTTCACACTTTACATATTGTCCACTTGTATCTATACCACAATGGCCATTAATTGAGCCTTTAGAATTAAATTGATCAAAACATTGTTTATCTGCAGCTATACCACCTAGAAATAACATAAAATATGCGTTAGTTTCAAACATTACTTGCATAATTTAAAAACTGAAAAATGTTAAAGAAATGTCTAGATAGCCTATTATTAACAACAAACATGAAGATCGCACTATGGTTCCCCAATTTTTTATTCATAATTATTTGTTACCCTTTAACAATAAACAATAAGTCGTAAATTAATATTTTCAAGCTTTTCATAAAAGTATTTTTCCTGTTTTTGAACAATAACGAGAATACAAGAATATGTATTTAAACTTATTTGTGTAACTGCATGAATTAACTTTATAATTAATTCAATTTATTAACATTTATTTATTTAATTAGTATTTATTTACTTATTGTCTGGCTTGGATTGTGGGATGACGCAAATAAGTCTATTAATCAGAAGCCAGATTTTCTTGCCGCGGTTGTTACTGGGAGTTCCCAATACGGCATACGGGATCCAATATGATGTGAACAATTGGCAATTTGTTGAGTATTTGGAGGAATGAAATGTAAATAAAATGAGAGAACCCCGAGAAAAATTGTTGGAAACCCCTTCTTTCACCCCCAAAATCGGAAGATACGAATCAGATTTGAACTCCGGCTCCAAGAGAGAAAAGCTAACGTGCTGGCAGCTACGGTCACACTCAGAAATTGAATTCTAGAATAGAGATATATTTAAGCATGGAATATTAAAATAGTTTTAGTAGCGACAAACACCACAAACAAGAAGTAACCAAAATAATTATCTTTGAACTGGAAATGGAATTGGAAATGGAACAATTAATAGCGTGTTTTGTAAATATTATTGGTGGAAATGTACATAAAATGAGAACACTTAGTGTGTACTACTATAGGAGAGCAATCATAATGGACTAAGCGACGCCACAGGAAACAAATTTCTTTATTACTTATACTTTAAGAGCTCATTACATTATTCGTAATGACCAAATTCATAAAGAAATTTGAAATTTTGAAGTAACTAAATTATTACCATGTTTTATACTCATCTACACTCATGTGTAGCAATTAAAACCTTTTCTCTCATAAAAAAGCTTATTCACTTCTTAGAATTAAAATCCGTTATGCTAAAGATTAATTATATCTGTCCTGGTATACTGTTAACTATTCCAATCCAACTGTAAATAAAATATTCAAACTATAATAAAAATGTATTAAATATAATGTACTTATATTATGTAGTATTACAATGTATTAACTAATTGAGAGGTCACTAAAAAGTTAATATCAGTAATTTGTTTGTGTAAATAACTAATCCCCTCGCGATTATTATTATTATTATTATTATTATTATTATTATTATTATTATTATTATTATTTCTTGCCAATGTCTGCCCTTTAGAACGATAATTATGACGATTACGTTTAAGATTACCATTTCGATCCCATTAAGGGCAAGGGCCTCCTGCCTTCTGAAGGGAATGCTGAATGAAGTGTTAAGGAGAAGATGAGAGGAGAAAGGACTAGGATGATGTCGGGAGATGGCTGCTGGGGTGGGAATGGGGTGGCGGGGGGTGTTTGTGGTAATTTTGAACCAACCCAGCATCTGCCTTATGACCACGGGGAACCACGGGGAACCACGAAGAACCCCGGTCAGAATGGCCGGCCCGGGAATCGGACCCGAACCTCCCGATTGCGAAGTCACTGCGCTACGCAAGCCTCTTCGCTTGGTCAGTCGCGATTACACAATGGAAACCCATCTCAACTGATTTTTACATCAAAGGCAATTGAACGTTCAAAATCTGAAAATCAAGTTATCATTTAAAAGCATATTTATTGCATTAAACGATTCTGCATTCATGACAGTACATTACACAAATGATTAACCAACTTTTACCGGAAACAGAAAAGGTAAGCACGTCAATATTTTGCTTATCATTGTCTAGAGCCAAGCGTCTCAATTATATATTTAAACAAGTGCGAATGCGCAGTACACCAAAACTTTGCCTAGTTTAGTGCACTCAACTGTTTTTTAAGTACATAAGGTCATTTAAATTGATGGATAGATTGCGTTGAGAAATAAATCTCTAGCTTTAATGTATAAAAAGTTCGAAACATATTTGAACTCCTGAAATTTCCAAATTTTCAGAGATTTTTAATGCAAATCAGAACTATAACCATATTTATAAATGCACTATCTTATATTAGAGAGAGAAAAAAAAGAAGAAAAAATGCAGTCGTTTGCCAGAAAATTGAGAAAATATCACAAGGGCTTTATGTTAAGTACCCTTCAACATTAAAACATGATATCTAGGACAGCACAACGAGATATTAATTCGCCATTTTTACCCAGTTTCAATTCAAAAGCTTTTAATCTGGCAGAGTGATGCGTGACACACACATCTATTCAAACATCCTGATTTTCGCGTACTAAATTACGTGTGTCTACTCGCACCCCTGCACAACACTGATGGACTTTAATTCTTACGTGTGTGCGACGTTACAGCTAAAAACTAAACAACGTTAAATACGGGCTTTATAACTAAAAATTCGAAACCGTAGTGTTGAGGTAATTCCAATATTTTTCCTACCTGTGCTATACTATACTTCGTAGTATAGGGAGTAAAAGTAAAAATTATGTATTATTCGTAGATAATCATATTGCGTGGAAAATATAAAATTGCAATACCTAAAAAACTTAGTAAGTCGAACAAGAGTTAATATATTTCAGTTTTTTAGTATTGCAGCGCAAAGTGAGACTTTCGCACACGCACCCACGAAAAATGACAGCAATTTACGCAATACAATGTATTCAAGAAATTAATTAACTTTCATTCTAAATGTACACTCACAATTCTTTAATTCACTCAAAAAGGTTTATGAATACTCAAAATCACGATCTAGGGGATAAAAATGTAATGTTTTACTTGAGAAAAAAAGACGACCATCAAACTAATGGATCTAAAATCTATTCGCGAATAGATATGATTAATGCGTAAAAATGTATGAATATCTTCATAGTAATGACAGTCCATCTCTTTCTGTTACTTTTATGACTTTAGATTCGGACGAGTACGAATTTAACGTAAAATAACGTACAATTTTTTAATAAATCTAGTGGCACGAAACATCAAAATCTGCTGATATGCTGAGCTACACACTAAAATCAGATTAAAATCATTCTATTTTTGTTTGCAATGGCGCTACAGCCCGCTTCAGGCCTTAGTTTCTAACTGTATGATATTTTTGGAACTCTTGGTTGACAAAAAATTTCGGATGCCCTTGAAATTATTCCACTTTCAGAGAATAATGATAATGTCTTAAATACGCTAATAAGTTAATCTCAACTCGAATGAACTGCAACAAAACAATCATTGCGCTTCTGTTCACCTACTGATTCATTGAAAAACAGAATCGCAATGAACGCCGTCCTTTTCTCGCTTTTTACCGCCACAAAAATGTACGTACAATTGCTATAGTAAACTTACATGATCCTCGCAATTTTTGCACTCTTAGGTTAATAATCCGCTGAATGAGAAGTCTCCTGCTGTCGGGGGTGATATTGTTTTTGAGAAAATTTTGCGTAAGCAACGGAAATGTATATTAAACCGAACTAAGTGAGCATATATATACGTCACGACTTGGATTCTCAGTTTATTCTGGTTGAATTTTGGTACACCTTAAAAAAAGAAACAGCGCTAAATTAAAATTTTTTATACGAACAAAATCGAAAGATGCAATATGATAAATGTCTTATTTTAGAAATTATTACTCTGTCATAAATATACATTTTTGCACGAGGATATCTGTATGCAAACCTGTTCGAATTTGAAACATAAAAATATAGTTTTTAACGTTGCAGCAAAATTCATGTGGCAATGTGCACTTTATTCACTCGAGTGGTAAAGTAGACATTATTGCCACTATAGAAACGTATGTAGCAGATCGTCAGCTGTATGAAAAACTTGATTACAATTTTGAAGAAGGTATGAGGTACATTTTAACAATAAAATTATAAACATTATCGGATAAAATTTGTGTCTTGAACAGATGTGTAAATGTTAATTTCAACCCTTCTACATTTTACAACACGATTGTCAATAAGAGCAATTTATCCTTCCGGATGGCAATGAATGCTTTTCTACACTTTATTACAATATACCGATTCATACAACAGCAATCGTATGCCAAAGTGTTTAATTTTACATTTTTAATATTAAACAACATAAATACATTTTACATCTAACTGCGATAAATTTGTGCAAGCAGAACCATATTAATAAGCACTTACTAGTTGTTTAACAATTTTATTTTAGCTTAATTTTCATTTCATTTATTGCTTCACAATCTCGTGTGTTATCACAAAATTAAATTTTTATTACAAGAGCAACATGAATGTTACTGGCCATGAAAGGAATAGTAGGCAATGTTGCCTATCAACTTAACCATTCAGAAATGAACAGGCAGAAGCCGCCTCAGTTTCTGTAAATAATCATTTAACAACATCGCTCGCGCAAATGGAAATTTTGCTTTCAGATCTGAGTTCTTTTCGGGCTCAGTTTCAATATATCCTTCATTCTGTGACCACTTCAATTTCTAACTAGAACACGGGGCATTTGTTTTATACTACCAATAATTTTATTACTCGATAATCAACTACTTTTTTTTTGACAAAGGTCATGAGAGCCACCACGAGTTCGATTTGGCAATATCACGACCTAAAGCAAAGTTTATACCCTGGGAAGCTCTGATCTAACAACTACCACACAAGTTTATTTTTAGTATGTGTATTTTAACGAAATTGATTTGTTTTGAGTCGTGCGAGCTCACTTAAAAATTGAAGTTACATTTGAAATATTTGATAAGTAATTAACTGAGTTTTTCTAAAGTATCGGCTTTCATCTTAATGCAGTTGAGGAGATCTTGCTTGTAATTTTTAGGATAGTGATATAATACAATTTTAAGGCAAAACAAAATATAATTTATTTGAATTATATAAATAGTCATAATCTTCTGGTATTTCTCACTATGAAATCAAAATTAACGTTACGAAAAGTGATTTGTCAAGGTATATATTATTTGATTTTTACAGTCGTAGTTAATTACTTTTGTTAAGATATAAAATGAATAAAAAAGAGAAAGGCACAAGAGTGATTTCCAAATTTAAACTCTCTGCTCATTTCATTCTACTTGTTAGTTTAAATTCAGATGCGCAAAATAGTTTGCTTCCAAACAATCGCTGATAACTGAAATAAAAATGGTTAGCGTTATTTAATTTCACATCCATGAAATTTCTAATGTTCGAAACTTGATTTATAAAATATATTACATTTTATCACAGGGTACAGTAGACTCGTGTTGAGACTATTTTCGATCATTCAAAGAGTTCAGAGCGAATTATACGCGGTCATTTTTGGTAAAAGAAATTTTAATTAAAAATACTCACCGTATCCCCATATCTGTTCACATTGGATATTCAGAGTGGGACATAAGCCATTGAAGCAATACCCTGTAGAACCTGTCCCACACGGAATTCCATTCTTCTTGTGGATGTCAAGGGGACACTGGCCGGTTTCTCCAGAACATCGCTCAGGAAGATCGCATTCATTTGTTGCATCACGACAGATGACGCCTTGCGACCGCAACTGCGGAGAAATCAATTTTTTGGAATCAGTAAGGTTGGATTCACACAATATCTGAATAAAAATAAGCGTATATCATATGAAAACAATATATCATTCATATGAAAGGAAACAAGTAAATTAGAATCTTAATGTTTTCTCTTCTTCAAATGTCGATAATACTTCTAAGAAGACGTTTTGAATTATACTAAATGAGTCCTAACTTATTTATCAAAATAGTTTTTAATTTCGTTCACTCAATGAATTGTAAAATAACAAAGCTGTTAATTTCTATTCTGTTTTTAAGAAAGCTAGTGAAGTGGAATAATATTTTGTCAGTGAATCTCTTTTATTGTTTTAGTCTCAAATCCTGTAACGCGAATCAAATGTTAATTACGCACTGAATAATTCAAATAAACTTTACTTTGAAGATATTTAAATAACATTGGACGTTTCCGGCTTACGAAAGTGTATAATTTATAATTTGTTTTATTAGCTTTACGTAAAAAGAAGTAAAAAATACTTTACGAATATTGAAATTTTCGTAGGACTACTTGTATATTTCAAGGAATAATTACTTTTATAGATCAGCTATAAGGATTAAAGTTGCAACATATATTTTAACGACATTTTGATATTTCCGTATTAAATATTAATTATGTAATCCCAGATTTACAGAATTTGTTTATTTCAAAGTAGATTTAGAAACTGAATGAAAGTAGTTTAATTGTTTAGAAATGCAAAAATTACCAACAGTTTCTTGAATTTCTCACCGTAAAGAATTTACTTACTTTTAAAGCCTTTCATTTGTTACAGCAGGAATTTTCTCATAAATGCAAGTCGTTTTCTCAATAAATTTGTCTTGAAGATTAAACAATGAATTATTTTGGAAACAGAGATAATTAAGTGCTAACATTTGGAATTTAATTACATGAGCAGTGTGCTGAGGGGAGCTAAATACTAATTTTCCGAATGCTAATTTACTTACGTCACAATTTATCTAAACCAATCACTACCTCATTTACTTACCCCTACCTCATTTACTTATGTATAAAACAATCTATCCCAACTCAAAAAAATCCTCGGTGGTTATCCAAATGTCAGCCGATTAACTATTCAAAATACTTTCTCTATGTTAGTTATTCACATGCGCGCCACTCTTTGCTCATGATTTTCTATCTCTGCACAATTATGGGTGAATATACCGTACCAAATATAATTGGCCGCAATCCAAACACACTGCTATTCATTCTCATTCTTTTGAACTTTCATCAGAAATTCTTGCAGGCTAATTACGACTAATGACGTCCATACATGTAATGACGACCGTTCTTTACATCATGATAGACGTTTACGACGATGCTGCGTTTTATACCCGGTTGAAAAGTATTTCAATACTTTAAAAGCTCTCTAACTCCATGAAATACGGAGAAACAAAACATAAATAATCATGAAGAGTAAAACCGTTCCACTTGCTTCGACGTAACCAATATATAAAATTATAAAGCCCTCGCGTACTGTCTGAGCACAAAGCCAATAAATGTGATTCACGTGAATGCCCATAGTTGGTTCGGTATCCTCTTGTGATCTTTCACAAGCGCTCCTTAGGAGGCAGCCATTGACATAACACCCTTAATATCCTTTATCACTCATTTCATAGTAGTGACAATGTATGTGTAGTAAATCTTAGTATGTTTCATTTGTATGTATCATGTATATATCTTTTAATAAAACCCCCAATCCTTTGACGAATGTGGTCAAAACGAAAGTTTTTAATTTTTTTCATTATAAAATTCAGAATTTTAAGAAGAGCACATCAATATTAATACATCAATTAGGGCAATAGATAGTGACTATAAGTAATTTTGATGTGTTGTAAACCTACAATTACGAAACGCAAGAGCACTGCAATGCTTACCCTACAGTTGTTGCAGCAAGGTCCCGAGGCACATTCCGCTTCTTTGGTCAACTTGCAGGTGATGGGGTCACAACAGGGGTCGAGCTCATGGCACTCGTCAATAGTGCCACAGTCACAGTCTTCCCCATCCTCCACAATGCTGTTCCCACAAGTCCGCCGAACCTCCAGCTGCAACCACCCCACACTATTCGCCTATTCATTTCACAAGAGCATTTACTGCCCTGCTAGAGGTACTCAATATACCATTAGCTGCTTCAACAACACTTTGCTCAACCTACACTCATACAATTCCCTGAAACAACTGACTAGCACAACGCCTTTAATATGAAATCAGTTCTTGATCCTTTACTCTATCAATTAAAATCTCAATATAACTTGAAAAATGAGTTGGATTATTTGGCCGATCAGTGGTAAAAAGGATATGGGTTTTCGTAGGAAACTGAAGAAGATATTTCATGAAAGGTTTTTTAATATTATAGAATTTAAATATGCAAGCTAAATTAGAACTAAACAATTATCATAATCATTATCATAATATTGGTGAGAATCAAATAATTTTAAGTGATACAGCTGTCATAAAACTGATTGAGGTTTTTCTCGGTTTTCCTCAATTAAGTAATGCATTTTTATTAATCTGGGAATGAAAAGTTGATGATTTGAATGTATAATTTGAAGCGAGAGACGCGTAAACAATGTGGTGGGAAAATAACTGATGAAAATGCCTGAATCAAATACTGTTTCATCGATAAGAATATCACAACAAAAATGTTCATTTATTAATCAATAATGGAAAATAATGTTTAACAAAATTCATTAATGTGAACTGTAATGAAGTCAAATTGGGAATGGCATGTATTCTCATTATGTATAATTTGTTTTTCATTTCCAGATTTGGATACATCTCATAAAGTAATAATCAATTACCCTCAGAAAAAGTAATATTTTACCTCATTAGGCTTATTTAAGAGACATATTCCATGTCCAATTCTCAGAGCATCAATGTAATCTGAACGACTGCATTCAGAAAATTTGTACGGCTGAACATTTTCTTGGCCTACTATGGACTGGGCCATAATGCATCCATGCCAGTCACGACAGTAACATTCTTCACCTGAAAGGGTTCATAAATATAATAATATCTCCCTAGTTTTGACATGAACACTTTATATTGAAATACACTGACAGTAGTATTATTATATATATTTTGAACAATATTTACCAGACTAAATTGAATGAATTCTATAAATTGTATAAGAAATTGCTTATTTTATGAAAATATTTTTTTTTTAAATTTCTACCATCTTCTGAAAATTATTTTGGAGCCAAAACTAAACACAAACAAAATTAAAATACTGAGCATTTAAATTATTTCAGACAACGTTTTGCTGGATTCCGAAACCGAGAAGTAGAAATGTCATTTGGTAAAAATTCCAGAATTCTTAACTTCAGTTTTTCAGTTTCAGAAGATTTTAGGTCATTTTTAATAAAGGAAAATTATTTTTAATGATGACCATTTTCACTAAATTTTCTAAACATTATCACTTAGGATGTTGTGGAAAAATGAATTATCTACTTACGTCCATCGTCGTGACCCATTCCTATGTTGTGACCAATCATGTGAGCCATTGTTCCTGCCAGTAGGTGAGGCTCGTACGTGTTTATATCCACGCTGATGCCCACAGATTTGGCCGTGCAAACCGTCTCTGGCACAGCCATTCCGGACTCTCCGCCTTGGAACGTCTCTCCCCTGCACCATAGTAGGTATGACTCTTACCATTCAAATGTTATTTTTTTGGCATACTCGGTTTGTTTGAAAACAAATCAATGACCAAAACAAGGAAACTTTAAAGAAAATGTTGGAGAAAGTAAAATGTTTCTAAATGATGAACAAAACGATAATATACAAAGATATTAACTTTAAGTTAAAAAAGTACTTGTAGCACATGAAAAATATGGAGTAATATTCAAACCCCAAAACTACTTCTGAGATAAATTAATAAATGAACTTTAATTAATAAAAAAGATTATTAATGTTAAAATACATACGTGAGCAACTGCGTAGTATCTTTGTCCACTTTGAAGAGTTTACGTGATGTATAGTCATTGAAATTAAGCAAGGCACGACTTATGTCTTGACTCTTGTCTATAGGTGCCTGGTTTGTACCTTGCCAAGTTTCAATGTAAACTACTGACACACGTGTATTGAGTGTGCGAAAATACTGCAACATAACAAGACATTAAATTTATAAAATTAAACCATATGTTAACGTTTATAATGCTTCAATGCTTCGATAAGTAGGTGGATAAATTCTTCATATCTTAAAAATGCAGAAGGGAAGAGAACAAAAAAAAACAACAACAACAGGGTACTGCAATAACTAATTTAAAAAGTAATAATATTGATAGAGTAAAAGGGATTTAAAATAATAATATTAAAAATAAAATTAATTGTGACATTTTAACGAATGTCTGCCAACAACGAACCACTGCAATTACTACCAATTCGAAATCCTGTTCTGGGCGGAGTATTGTTCGGAAGTAAAAAGTTCTAATGCCTTTGCATATAAATGGATATATCTACACCACAGGCAATCCCAAAGTTTGAATTGTTTAAGAACTTTTGAAAAGTTTTTCCACCTAGTTCTAAACAATATTTGAAATTATCGTAAAAGATCTTGTTCACTTACCAAATCAGCGATATTTGCTACCTGAATGGCGTCGTGAACAACTTCCGATCTCGTGCTTCCGTTGCGCTTCTCAAACTGAAAGAGAAATCACTAATGAGCTGTGTGTTCTGGCGTCCAGTAAGAGCACTTCCGAACCATCAATCAAAGCTCTGGCGACAACTATGGATTTACAAGTCGGGGGAAAGCTGACCTAAAGTAACTTGGGAAAGTGCGCTGGAGAATCTAGGGCTTAGAGAGTGATCCTTGTCTGGTCAGTTAGCACAGGAGTTTGTTTAGAAGGGATGTGGACACTACAAAGTGCGGCATGATACACTTCAGAGGATATAAACTAAGTCATTTGAAGGATAAGCAGGTCTATCAAAACAATGTCCCTAATTGAACAAGAATTATGATAGATTCAGAGATTCAGATATATAGCTGGATAGCAGCAACTAACAACTAGAATTTGAGGTTGTTAATTGTAATGTTTTATGAAAAGATAACCTTAGTTACAATGTGTTCAAGTCAGGTATATAATTTTAATTTTTTTGCATTAATGACTCAATTATCCATTAACAATGAAAATTACAGTTTTCGTTTGAATATTTTACTAATACATAACGTTTCAATGTGGGTGCATTTTTCTGTTTTTCGTAGTATATGCGTGCAATATTGAGAAAGTCAATTTTGTTAAGTTCAATATTAAAAAAGGCAACATAGATCATTAAATTAGACGTCTTTTATTTCGTGAAATCAGTATGAAGTCTCTGAGTACAATGATAAGGTATAATTATATTTAGATCTGCCTTGTCTAGAATATTTACCAACCAGTGAAATCAACTGCTACAGGTACAGTCGCCATAACCACCATGCTCCGGACGCGATTATTTGTGCTGTTTTTTTATTACATGTTTATTTTTCTTTCGGAAATTCGTAGATCAGTAACACTCTCTAATTTGTGACAATTCGCTTATAATATTCTAATTTTCCAATATTAAAACTAAATCTAACTACAGCAAGGGCAAGGTGGCTATAATCAGCATCTACTGTTAACAATTGTTCGCAAAAATGCTTAGTGAGTAATGCATCAAGTGAATATCGGTTTTTGAGTTGACTTGGGGTGTTGGGACGAGGTTGTAGTGGACGACGTGGGGTATAGAGTTGATGTTTGCGTAAAAATTATAGGAGAGGTGAGCTATGTGTTTGGTGATGGATGTTATATTCAGTTTTCCGTATAATTGTTGGATATAAACCATGGGGTGTGGGTTGCTATTCGGAGAAATCTATTTAGTGTTATTTGCAGTTTATTTATGATTGTAACTGATGCAGTAGTCAAAACGGGGCATGCGTATAACATTAAGGGTCTGATTATAAATATGTATTATGTGATGGCAATGTCTATTGATAGGCAGCTTTTGGAGTTTATGAGAGGTGCGGAAGAATGCATCACAGCTAAGTATAGTGCAGTGCAGTGCAGTGAACTGAAGTGATGTGCAGTAAGGTTTGCGCGGTGAAATTTTGTACTATTTATTATTAATTATTGTTTTTAATTACTAAACTGTTTACTCCTTTGTAATTTATTGTTAGTCAATGTAGGCTTAATTCATGTTAAGATATTCTGCCACAAAGTCGCGATACTTAATTGCAAAATTAATAATAAATCTAATGTAATGTAATCTAATTTAATGTAATTGTGTTATTTTGCATTTTGCTTGTTGTGTTTTCATTGTAATATGGGAATTCCAGTTCAGTGTTGTGCCTTAATTCAGTCCATGGCATTTCACAGTTGGCGCATTCTTGGCTATCCGGGATGAGCCGCTTCTCGGTCAATCGTACTGCCGTTTCGGCCATCTTGCTGTGGCCTTCTTCAGAGCAGTATAGCCAGCAGTATAGCTCTGAAGAAGGCCACAGTAAGATGGCCGAAACGTCAGTACAATTGACCGAGACGCGGTTCATATCGGACAGCCAAGAATGCATTGACTCCGGCCGCGGAAGCCTACGAACCCATTTCACGGTTTGCCAGTGCCATTGGCGCGGTACTCACCATCGCTTTGTCGATGACGATGGCCGTCTCGATGTACTTGGTGGCCTCGCGAACGTCGCGTTTGAAGCGGGAGTTGGAGGTGGGGTCCTCCGCCATCCCGGACACGTGCTTCCGCCGGTAGTTCTTCATGCGCCATTCCAAGTTCCCAGAGTTGGCACAGCCTTTGTTCGTCTTGGTGCGAGCTTCGAAGATCACGTGAGGATGTTTCTGCTAAAGGAAAGCCAACAGGCACGGTTGTGCAGTTAAACTGTCCCAGACGCTTGGTGGCATCTTGCAAAGACATGTTACAAAAGACATGCTGTAAATATAATGCGCACACATGTGCAAGAAAATGTGCTCTGTTTGTTCACTCTCACACAACTGTGCTAATGGTTGTGATATAAAAATATGTAACTGATTTAATACTTAACTTTATAGTGCCACTTCATACAAAAGAAATGAAATAATTACTATCTTATAATGGTTTAATATATGTGCATCGATTCAGAAAACTCAATAATAAGGATCCAAACATTTATATTAACTGCGATTCAATGAAATTCAATATTTAAATAACAATGTCAGAACTGTTTTCAAATCAATTTAACTACGAATGTATGTGAATACCCAAGTTCATTTTTTCCAATCATCATTTTAAACTCAAGATTTCGATAATGGACTATGCTTAATTGCGTTTCTTTGAGAATATAGACAATAATCGTATTACTAGCATTTCAATTAACGTTAAATGAAATAAAATGTTTAAAAAACGTCAATTTTTAGACATAGTACATAGGAAGCTCTATCCCATTCACAACGCACACATCCAAATTTACCCGTTTACTTCCTAACTTGAAAATATTTGAAAGTTATTGATTTCCTTGAAGCTAAGTTTAAAAATAGAATTTGTGAATATAATCAATCTTGCAAATCATGTGCGATGAAGGAAAGCCTGTAAAAACCACAACATAACACAGTGACAAAACTCTTTTTGAATTGTGCAAAATTAGAATAAATTCATAACAAACTTAATGTTGAGTAAAATTCATTAAGCATTAAATTGGTACGTTATAAATTTTCAGAAAAAAATGTACTCTTTAGTATGTAAGCCATATACAGTTTTCAAATTTAGGATTTTTTTATTGTCCTTCTTTTTGCGAAGACAGACGACTAAGGAGTAGTATTATAATTTAACTCGTGATTACAAATAAATAGTTTGTTGATTATTAATGAAAAGTATTTGAAGTTGAAAATGATGTAAATTGGCAACGCAATATTCCGAGAAGCCTTTTACGCTGCCCTCTAAATATTGGTATCCGTGCACGCTGTACATTTTCATTAACAATGTCAGAGACAGAGAAAACAACAAGATTAATCTATTCGCCTCAAAAGTACCCCCAGAATCACGATTATACACTTTGTAGGGATGTTGCGATCCCACACTGTGATCAATACTGATATCAGTCGCTACAACACAATAAATCGATACCACGATATCATCGAAACAAAACAAATTTCGAATGGTATCTTTACATGACTTATTCAATCATTATATTATTAGGCAAGGAGGAATGTTAATTATGAATCATTCAAAGATATTTCAGAATATTTTAATATCTACGTACATCTCTGGTAACATGTATATTTTTAGTGCTTAAGCTCTTCTACTTCTCATTTTATTCATTAAGTGAATATTAAAACGTGAATGGGAGGCATTTCGTTGCTGACACGGATACTGCAGTTTTGAAATCGAGGTCAGGGTCTATGTATTAATCACAGACACTATCAAAATAGAACCAAAGTCTTTCGATTTTAGAAGTTTCTGTAGTATCGCAACATCCTTGAAAGCGTGTGAACATATTCCCCCCATGGAGCCGTTAGATTCGAAAAAGAAGCCAATGCCCTCGACGATCTTTGCGGGTGGGTGGTGCTGTGTGAAATTCACGCGCACACACTTTGTGCGAGGGGCGGAGTCAGTTCCTTTCTCGTTACCTGCACCGCCTCCACATAGTCGCCGCCTCCGTCCGATCCGAACACGTCATAATCTGGATGTGGGACGGGGATCTCTTCGACTATCTGCAATGGGGCCACAAACTAGTCATGCACGCTGGATAATATTGGACATAAACCTTACGGGAGTATATCAAGTAACTGTAATCGTCAGTACGTCAGTAACTGTAATCGTGATAAAAACTACGGGTTGGGTGTTAACACCAGAAGAAATAAGAAATATCGATGTGTGCGTTAACACAGTGTGAAGGAGGAAAAGCAATCGCAAAGCGAGGAGGGGGCGTCTGACAAGAATTAAAAATGAAATAATTATATGCGTCGTCATTGCCAACAATATTATTTATTAAAAGAGCAGCTTTCGATGGCTTAGCCATCATCATCATCATCATCATCATCATCATCATCATCATCAGTTTTCTGCTGTATGGAAGCCACAAAAACGACTAACTGGCTTCCATACAGCAGAAAACTGATGATGGCTAAGCCATCGAAAGCTGCTCTTTTAATAAATAATATTGTTGGCAATGACGACGCATATAATTATTTCATTGGAAACGCCAACGATAACTCACCACAATAACTATACCTATACCTATAAGAATTAATAATAATAGTTATTTATGCATCAAGGGTGGTATACGGGTTCGAGCGGCAACCAAAACGCCCGAGGACCAATGGACCGAGTGTTTATTGTCGCCTGAGATCATTAGAACCAGTTAACGCCTGCGGTACAAAAATTATTTTATTTTTTACGCAATTTTAATGATTCAGATTGACTTATTTACTAATTTACTAGTTATTATCTTGACGCTGTTTGTCTTTTCATATTTCCCTTCCTTAATTCCCTACAACATGTGGCTACATTCAATTGTTTTCATATTTCCCTCGCAATCACGATCCTCTCGATCTGTAATTCCGTTATCAATCTACATATCGAAGGCAATAACAAGAAACAACAAGCCAATAAAAAATAAAACATCTTTAAATTAATTTTCATTTAATAATAATTAATTATTTCAAAAGAAATTCATATGAAAGAGGTATTTTAAATTAGACAAATACTTCAATTAATGGACGGGGGGAATTTTTTTTAGAATGATAAACTCCATGATGACACTCAATTATTGAAACTAAACATCATTAAAACCAACACAATTAAGATGTATTTCTAATGATAATACTTATCTAATTACTACTATCTTTTACTCTTCAAAGTTTAATACAACAAAATTATTATTAATATGTAGAGAGATTACACAGGTCTAATAATAATACTGATTTTTGATTTTTCTCTTGTGATTTATAATTACTTTTAAATTAGTTACCATATCTTAAATATCTTTAAAATGCCAACGTTTACAAGCAGAAATGGATAAACATAAGTGCAGTAAATGCAGTAAGAAAAAAATAATTCTGCCATAGATTACAGTGGACCAATTGTATTTGATGTGGAATCATGACCTTCCATGTATTCACTTAGATTTTCAAACAATATGCGTAAGTACATTGAGTATTATCTTCACAAAGAGTAACCTTATAGAAGAACGAAATATTGTTTTAGCATCTTTAGAGATATTATTTCTTCACTACATTGCCATCTATTTTAGGGTTTAGTGTCTTGTAAGGTACAATAACATTATTGACCACCCAGAAGGGCAGAAGAGTGCGCCCTAATACGGAGCATACAAAGCTAAGGTGTCTCCCGTGGAGGAACAGTTACGTCAGTATATTTGGCAGCGCTGGCTTGGACGGGTGACCAATAAACCTCCTGCTCGGACAGCGACATGGCCACAGGCTGTGCCAATGACACCAAAGATTAATCACGGCATTACGGCGACACGAAAGAATCACACCTAATAGCGACGTTCCGACAGATGGCGGGCTGGCGTGGGTCTGCCACCGCCGCGCGGCAAGAACCAGCCAATAGACGAACAGCAACAAACAGGTCTCGGGGGGGGGGGGGCACACCTCGTTCAGCCACCGCATTGGAGCAGGCGGCAGCACGGAAACACTACATGCGCAGGGGAGGTCGAGTGGTTATGAAATGTTTCACAGATGTTTTTCAGAAATAATTGACATATTTTTTTAATAGAAAAGCTATTGCCAGGCTAATGACTACTTTTCTGCCAATGTCATAGGTTTATTATAACCGGAATTATTTATTGTTCTGTTAATGATCGTATTATAATATTTATTAACATATCAAAGCGTTGAGATCCTTTTTTTAAAATACGTAGTTGTTTTATCTACGTAACTTATTTGTCCCCTCAAAAACTTTCTTTTCCTAATAATGTACGCTTTCGTTCATCATTAACGATGATAAGAATTAATGTTACAAACTTCTGTGGCTCTGTAGAAGGGATCAATGATGATTAATTCTTGCCAATGAAAAAGTGATGGGAAATCTCAATTAATAGTTACACACGTGCGTTACACCATCACGCACTTGATCGTTACCAAACTGAGCAGTAGCCCGCGCCAGTAGCCGAGATTCTTATCCAAGCTCGGTGAAGCATTGGATGTTAAGAAACGGCGGGTGCCTGAATGGGTGGCCGTCTGGGAACTGAGAGCCTGGCCGTTACGGATAAAAGGCAATGTCTTAAGATTTGACTTGACATATGACTGACAATGATCAAAGAGATTTTACTCCACGTTCAACGCCAAAAGGCTTGGGAATAGAATTTAAACATCAGAAACGTCACAATTCAGCCAATCACCAAACTATCATAGTTACATCTCGAGAGATCACCTGCACCAAGATTGGATACAACTCTAAATGTTAGCGAGTTTACAGAACACAAATGGAAAGGTTTTATGAGTGTTAACAAGGATGGAAGCAAGAAGAATAATGGAGGAAATGATGGCTGTTGGTACGTTACAAGTTATAATAATGCGTTGTTTCCGGAAAATAGAATGCATTAATTGTGTTCCTTGTAGTTAATATAAGTAGGAGTATGGCTCTAAGTGTGAAAAAAATATCTATCTCCAGTTCTGATAACTCTTAGTCACTTTCAAACATAACGCTACGTCAGAAAATTACATAAACTGCTATCTTTTCTTGATTCATTTCTTGTTTTTCATAAATCATCTCAAAACAAGTTCTCAACATCAAATTATCACCTTGATGAGAACCTTCTAACAAGTATAAATGCAGATATTATAACATTCGCAAAGTGTTAAAAAAACTAGAATGCACAGAATAGTTAACTTTCGTTTTGTTACACAATTGGAAAAAAGTGACAGATGTATGACGACGAATGACTTGAATTATGTGATGTGGGCGTACATGTGTGT